ACGACTTACAACAATATTTGCGAGCTAAAAAGTCATCAATCTCGGTGGTCTCAATTGGTGAGGCTGTTACAGAAGGTGTTAACAAGGCTCTAACTGAGACTTGGCAATTCGAATTTTATATCTCAGGGCCACAAGCAGTCCCATTGCAATGCATAATTCCCATTTCATTCAGCTTACGAGGTCATCATCGCTATTGAAGAGCGGCGGGACAATGCGAATAAGTGTGACAGGAGCAATTATTGCCTGATCCTGATGTCTTCGATGTCAACACAACAGAGCTCGAAAATGGCAGGCAATTCGAGGATATACAGCTCGCACAGGACTTCGAACAGAAGCCAAGGACACAGGCAACGCGTGACGCATTGGGAAAATATTTGTACAAAACATTGAGGAAGTCTGAAAAGGAGCACAGCGTCTCGCCATCCTTGACTTTGATTGGTGCCGATCCAAGGACGAAATGCTATATCCACCCATTGAGTTGACCTCGAGAGGAGTCGTCGGAGGCCCTCCGATCGAAGGTCATCGAGGAAATATACTCAGTCTGGCTTTCTCTGGTTCCAAGTGAAATCTAGAAGCCGAAGATTACTTCATCTAGACATCTTAGACATCTGGTAAACTCATCGAGCCGATTTCCCCAGCGTAGAGCTAACGACTCGATCTGTGTGCAGTTTGATTGTTAACTCAAACAAATCGCATAACGCACACGGAAATTTTGAATAATTCTCGAGCATCACTGCTAATTAGCCGCCGATTGAGGCAATCAAATTGATTGCCTGCGATCGAAGCCAAAGAAAGCCTCACGCTGGGATCTCCGGACACGAGTTAGACGGATTGACGCTGGTACTATATATAGACGGTGTATCGGAATAGTTCGGGAATTTGTACCAATCGTGAGTTGTTTGTTTTGTTTGTTGATAATTTTTCTCGGCCCTTTACTATTTTATACGCAGCGGGTCGTCGCCTGTTTCACTCTGATAATGAGTGCGATCTACTCGATTGTTTTTATCACCCCTTCCCCACTTTTATGGCATTTGCTGTATAATGAGAAATGCCCCCCGGAGGAGATCAGCAGCGACTTCAAAGGAAAACCAGCCCCAGCATGTGACCATCATAGTTTTACTCAGGCTAGGAAAACAAACAAAACTCGGGACTTTACTGACACTGGAGTATCCTAATGGGATATCTTATGTAATGCCCCACTGTTGGTCAGGTGGTGCATTAGGCCATTTTAAAAAAGCTTTGAAGTTGGAAATATTAATGAGCCCCAAAGCAGCAGGTACGACAATCGATAAGGCAATTAATGAAAACAATGCACCGTTTGCTCTGTAAACTATTGAAGTTGAAATTACTTCTTGGTTTTTTTAAAAAACAGACTTAAAGAACCTGACTCTTTGCTTTTATGTTTTGGTTTTTTATTCTTGTATCGGTTCACAAAAATATTCAATATTTTCCTTACTTTTTGGTCTTTTTAGTGAGAACCTCCCCATAATAATATTTAAACCGAGTTTTCCAAGCCATTTTGTTCACAAAAAAATTGAGTTTAAATTGAAATTCGCAGGATAACAAACGCAAATCAATTTTAGCATTGAATAATGTAGAATTTATTTAAAAAAGGGTATTTTTCGCTTTCTCCTTTTGTCCGAACATATCAAAAGAAACGACAAGAACTATGACAAAATTGATATGGAAGTAAATTAAAATCATCATAATATCTTAAAAAATTATTTTTTGGTATGCAAATTAAATCTTTTATAACACGTTTATTTGGTAAATTCAACAACTTACAACTTAATTCATTTTTTTTTGGATATTTAAGGAGAGAAATAAATGAGTTTAGTTTCGTTTTGTATCCTAATGATGTTGGTCACTCTGGTTTCGCTTGACCATCGACAGCTGATGATGCTACCTCTGGGGAAAATAATGATGTGGATGACTGCAACAGCAGCCAAAATATATCTGAGGGCTGGGAATTAACACATTCGCCTCCTCCAGGCGCGTGCCTGTTTCACCTTCCCGTGCATTTATCAATAGTGCGCCGGACCGACCCACCGAGCTGTAGAGCTGTAGAGCTATATAGATGGCGATGGCTATCTGACTGGGCTAACCCTCATGGAAGTGCCAAAAATGTGCAACGCCGTCAGCGGAAGAAAGGAAGGAAGGATGAACTGAAGCGGGGAGGGGTTCGCAGGATACAAGGGGACGGGGGACATGCAGCTACTCAGGCACAATGGGATGGTCCCGATTCACTGTCAAGGTAATTTATTAATTCGACAATAAAAACGCACGAATTCTTGGCCTGAGCTGCGGACTGGCACTCTGGGTGGGGTTCGGGCTTGCAAACGGATTCGGATTCGAGATGGGGTGTGTTGTGGTCGGACACTCGCATGTGGGCCTTACAACTCAATTAAAGTTGCCGGGGTTCTGGACGTCGAGCATGCTGCATTTCCTTGGAGATCCGGGGTGAGCTGAGTATTTTTATCGCCATGTGTTGGCTTCGGATTAATCTCGATTGAGCCGAAACCCAATCGGTCGTAAGTGAGAAAGTTAAGTGGCTTTATTAAATTCGCCAAATGAGAGTCAATAAAAATTAAATAATTGTCTTGAAAATATATTTTTAGTATAGCACTAACAATATGTGTTTTAATACGATGCTTGTTTAGTTAGGTTTTAATCGAGAAGTGGATATGGGTCAAACATATACTTATTTGTGTAAGCTAAGCAAACACATTCGTCGAAATTCTCTTCTATGTACCACAAAGAAAAAATAAATTAATGTTACAAAAATAAATTTTATAATATTGTTTTAAGGAAATGATTAAAAAAATGTTAGCATATATATATTAAATAAATAAAAATTCCAAATAAATTTTTTAATATTTTCTTACAAAGAAATTATTAAGAAAATGTTAACATAACGCAAAAAATAAGAAACAAAAATGAGATTTAAAATCCTGATGAAGCCATCTTAGTTTTGAAAGAACCTGATGTTACGATTTGATATAATAAATATTTTGTGGCATGGTTTGGTTTACAAAGAAAACGAATTTTGTAAGCTAGATTTTTTAGAAAACCCTCCTTAGGTTACTATACAATTTATTTGGACGAACAGTTACGTATCCCACTCCAAACCGAACACTGATTGTTAAATTTACTCTAAAGCCAGAAAGGCGGCTTCACATTCACTGGGATTGTAGCAATCACAGGACATCGGGGAAAAGCGAACTGCAGTCTGGCGTACTCTCTTCTGTCAAACTGAAAAACGCCATAAATTTAGTGCAACAATGGAAGCTGCCAGCGGATGGGGATGGGGTACGGTTGTTCGGGGAGTGGACTTGGGGTGAGGTAGAATTCGCACATGCACAAACGGCACACATATGCCACGACTATCGATATGTTAGGGGTGTTCAACGGGGGTGGCTGATAACATTTTTCTCGTCCGCGTAAGCCGATCAGAAAGTCATGTAAACACAAAAAGTGGCGGAGAAGCGATTGTTTTTTTAGCAGTCAATTTAGCTGAGCGGCTTTTGGTTATATGCATCCACCAGATAAGCCAGAAATTTGAGCCTCGTTACAGAACGAGCAAAGTCGGGGCAAAAAATAGTTTGCACTTAATATTGGCCAAAAAAAAAACAAGTAACTACCCTAAAACAAGCACTTCAGCTAACATTTAAATTGAAGCACATTTTATAATATACACATTGAAATAAAATGTCATTTAATAAAGCTGTAGTTATACACATCTTTAAATTTAATTAATATATAAATTTAAGAATATATTGTTCTATTGGCATTAGAGAGTACTGATGTGGGAAAACTGAATATAAATATTTAAGGACTGCTAATGTCCGATTTATGATATAACTTTATATTTAACTCTGAATTTATTTTTGACCATCACTTAAAATAAAAATGTGTATGTGTAAAGAACCAAAATTCTTAGGCCCATTTCTTCATTTTTCGCTGAAAGCAGCAAGGATCCATTAGGTTTCTCAATTTACAATGCACTTATTACTAATTAAGTATAATTTTGTTTTATAAATAAAAGAATAAAAGAAAATTCATTAAATGCTTAATACAAAGTATAGTTTAGTCCAGTTTCTTTTTTTTAATAATTAAAAATAACATTTAATATTTCAATTTTTGTAAGCAAAAATGATTGTATATTTTAGCAGTCAATATGGCAAAGCGTCTTTCGGTTTTTGAGCAAATATTAGACACAGGAGTGAGTTTGGGATCGGGAGTTGCGCACTTGCTTGGCCACGAGGGCAAACAAAAAGCGTAAACACGCGACCCTCGGCCACGCGCAATCGTTGTTTCAAGGATCGGACGTAATGTTATCCTTTGGCCGCCCAGTGCCGCGGAATAAATTCGGAGGGAAAGGGCCGCGGATTCCGGGAACAACTGGCAGCCAGTCGCTGTCCTCCCGCGTTGGAAAAAATCCAGAGAAATTTTTAGGGAACCATAAACGGGCCGGGAAAAAGCCTCTGTGCCGAGGGAACATCTTCAGCAACAGTTTACGGTTCCTTTTTATGTCTTTATGATTATTGCAATTAGAGGGAGATCGATTGATCGGCCCTCTCGCTCTGCGCACCTCATAGGTAGGCATCTCATGGCAGTAATTACCGTGCAGCGTCTCAAGGTCGCCGAGGAGGGGAAGTGCGCGGGCGGATAACTCGCGATGATAATGGGCGCGATGGGTAGGTAATAAGCAGCACAGCAGGTAGGCCCCGAACGGATAAAGCCTGCAGCACCTCGGATAACTTCCCCTCGCCGAGAATGCAAGGACATTCGCCCGGAGGGGTGGTTGCGAACAGCAGGCGGCAAAGTGTCATGCGCAGGGATATTTATGCGCTATAACGGCGAGCGTGTGCCGAGAGCACACTGATTTTGCTATATATGCAGGATCTGCCGCAGGACCAGCTCATTCGCAAACTCACCAGCGTTGCGTGCACATCGCAGACTTAGAGAGCAGTCCAGTAATCTACAAATAAACACAAGAGATGGCCGCCACCAACAGCCAACAGAGTCACTACAGCTACGCCGACAACATGAACATGTACAACATGTACCACCCCCACAGTTTGCCGCCCACCTACTACGATAACTCCGCCAGCAATGCCTACTACCAGAACAGTTCCAGTTACCAGAGCTACCAAAGCTACTATCCGCAGGAGAGCTACTCGGACAGCTGCTACTACTACAACAACATCCAAGAGCAGTCCCAGACCGCCCAAACCGCCCAGTCAGCGCCAATCACACCCCCACCGAAGTGCGCCAAGCGGAAGGCCGAAGAGGATGCCATCATCGCCGCCGTTGAGGAGCGACCCAGCACCCTGAGGGCTCTGCTCACCAACCCCGTGAAGAAGCTGAAGTACACCCCCGACTACTTCTACACCACCGTGGAGCAGGTGAAGAAAGCCCCGGCTCCGGTCTCGGTCCCGGTCTCCAAGGTCGCCGCCAGTCCCGCCCCCAGCTACGAGCAGGAGTACGTGGCCGTGCCCACGCCCAGCGCCTCCGAGGACGTCGACTACCTGGACGTCTACTCCCCCAGTCGCAGTCGCAGTCGCAGAAGTCGCAGCTGAAGAATGGCGACTTTGCCACCCCGCCGCCAACCACGCCCACCTCCCTCCCGCCACCCGTCGAGGGCATTAGCACGCCACCCCAGTCGCCGGGGGAGAAGTCCTCGTCGGCTGTCAGCCAGGAGATCAATCATCGAATTGTGACAGCCCCGAACGGAGCCGGCGATTTCAATTGGTCGCACATCGAGGAGACTTTGGCATCAGGTAGGCATCGTTCGCAAGCAAATCAACCCCTAAATCGTTCTTAAAAATATTCAAAAGAATTGCCAAAAAAAAGTATATATTTATGATAGCAAACACTAACTTATGTTTCCTTTATTTTTTGCTTACAGATTGCAAAGACTCGAAACGCACTCGCCAGACATACACTCGCTACCAGACCCTGGAGCTCGAGAAGGAGTTCCACTTCAATAGGTACATCACTCGGCGTCGTCGCATCGACATCGCCAATGCCCTGAGCCTGAGCGAACGGCAGATCAAGATCTGGTTCCAGAACCGACGCATGAAGTCCAAGAAGGATCGCACGCTGGAGAGCTCGCCGGAGCACTGTGGTGCGGGCTACTCGGCGCTGCTGCCGCCACTGGAGGCCACCACCACCAGCTCTGGTCCTGGCCCCGCTGCGGTGTCATCAGTGCCCATGTACCACCACCATCACCACCACCACCAGGCCACGGCCAGCAGCTATCCCGCCTACAACCACAACCACAGCCATGGCCACAGTCACGGCTATGGCCTGCTGAACGATTACCCACAGCAGCAGCAGAGCCATCAGCAGTACGAGGTCTACCCGCAGCAGTACCAGAACCAACAGCAGTGCGGCTACCAGCAGCATCCGCAGGACCTCTACCATCTGCCCTGAGCTCCTCGGTACCGCCGTACCGCCGTACCGCCACACACCCAACACGCACTTCCCTCGACCATTTGTAGGTGACACGCAAATGGCGAAAGCCGAGAACGAAGCTGCGAAGCGATGAGTCGCACAGTAGAGGCACAGTAGAGGGCGCAGCGCACTCCCTATGGTGCCCAGGACCCTTGGGCACAAGGACGAGTGCGCCTGTGCAGCGGCGCAGACAGACACACAGCCTGCCTGCCCAGAGAAATGAAATGATCAGGCACGGGAACAGGAAGAGGAACAGCAAGAGGAAAAGGATCCTTGCTGCGAGCGGAACCCAGTGGCTGGCCATGATGGGTTCTCAGCGATCGATTAGCTGCGGCCAAACACAAACCCAAAACACTCAGCTGGGAGGCCGATAATGGCCAAAAGACTTGGAGACTGACACATGTTTTTTGTACATTTAGCTGTTAAGATGATATTAGATTCCTATTTATTAAAATATATAGCAAATCAATCGAATTTAAAACAAATTAAATGCAATTTTTATTGGGAAGTTGGGTAAATGAACTCTGGTAGTTGGGAATGATTTGAAATATCCCAAATTTCGAATACCATGCTAAAAATATATTTCATTGATCAGTAACTTTCTTAAAAATAAATTAACGTGCTATGTTTAAGACATCTTTAGACATCCAAGTCTATATATATATATATATATATATATAGATCTTTAAGATACATTTTAGTTTTATTGTTTTTTTTTTCAAAAATCAAATTCAAAATTTCCAAACTAAAATTTTATTTTTTAAGAATATTTAACGCTCTAATACTTAATACCCGAATTTTAGTTCTTACAAAAACGTTGCTAATTTTTTTAGCGAGCTTCTGTATCTCCAAGAAAAAAGGCTAAATAGAATTTGTTTACCAACTTAAGGAACTTTTGGACACTTGGTTGTAAATCTCATGATTTATTTCTAACGAATTGCATTCTCTGATCGCTGCAACCACCCGACACATTTTTGCTGAACTTATACGAAAAGCAAACGATTCAATGTTGAGCACGAATCCTGCAAATTCGAGCAGCTGCGTTTTCTCGCCTTGATCCCCCTCATCCCTGACCCAATGCTATCTCTCGGATTTTCTACAAAATTCACTCTTTTCGGCAGAGAAATTGTCACATTTTGGTCGGGCCTCGGGGTATATCTACCACCACATCCCCGGCCCCTTCCTCCCCTTCGCCGATGTTCGTTCGTCTATTGAAGTGAGACATTGATTGGTCATTTTTCATTGCACACCCGTGACAGTTATGGGTAACGCAACGCAAAAGGAAAAGCCGAATCCCGATCCTGAATCAGAATCAAGGGCAAAGGGAGCATTGTGCAGTCGCATTTTCCCCGGCATCATTTATCCGTCTCATTAGATAAAAGTGGACAGTGGGTGAGCAGTCAGTCCAAAGTGGCATCTGTGTTCCTTTGGTAGAGTTAGGTGAGAAATGGCATTCGGTTAGTTTAGTGGTGAAATTTACCAAGCATCTGCAATTAGGGCTTAGGCAGTTTACATTAACGATTTTGATATGAATATATTTCACAAGTCGTCTTCGCAAAATCTTGGATGTTTCACATTAATTACATTTAAATTTTTTTTACTAACGATTAGATCTCACATGAAAATAGTACAAATAGTGAATTCAAATGTTTTTGTATGCCAAAATAGAAATAAAAACTTAATTTAAGTTTGAACACATACAAATTTTATTTTCAAAGATTAAATATTTAATTAAAATGTAATTAAATTCAACAAATTTATATTTAATTTAATAGGAACAGCTTTTCAGAGTATCCTCATTACGAATTTAATCAAATTTTGTTTCGTCCTTTTCCACCTTGAAATATAAAAATATTTAGTTTTTATATAAACAGACACTGGCATTGGCCCTTAACTACACTGGTATAAAAATATATTTTTATTTGACTTTTTTGGAATTTATTTAAATATCTGAAAATTTTATTTAATAGAAACTTTTTTAAATCTACATCAATTTAAATACTTTAATAGTTAATCAATATTAAATATTCAAATTAACAATTAAATATATTAATTTTGAGTTCAATAGTCAAATTTTTTTTTACTTTTACATTTTTTTTATCAGTTTAATACCCAATAATTGCCTAGAGGGACATTACCCGATACTGAATTTGACTAGGAAAATAAATTTAAGCAACTTAGCATGATCAACATAAAGATTAACCCGTCTTAATTTCCAAGACAAGCCCACTAGTTTTTAGGGCAGTTAAACATATGAGATATAAAGGAGATTTTTTTTATTAAAGTAATTGTTAAAATAAATTCACCAAACTTTACAGGATTAATTGTAGTAAAACTTAAAATGGCTCTTGAAAAGCTAAATAAAAGTTTTGCATATTTGGTTAGTAAAATTTAAATTAAATTAATTATCTTTAAGCTCAACAGTGTAAACCCAATACAACCCGATCGCTATTAAGGAAGCTTTTAAATGGGATCGTTTACATATACAAATATAAGACTGATATAATGGTATGAACTACTTTTTAGGTCAAGCTGCTAAACTTATTTAATTATCTACTACGCAAAGAAATTAAAACCGTTTCATTGATTCTTATCTTCTAATTTCCAATATTTTTAATTTTTTCCTGAACGGTCATCCATCCTCACCTAAACGTATCGAGGAGAGAAAAAAAATTCTGCATATTTTTTATAGTTTCCAAAAAGTCAACATTAAGCAAGCAGATTTCCTAAGTCCTTTGAAAACTCCGTTAACTCGCGTATACCCTTCCTAGCCCTTTAGCCAACATTAAGTAAACGAAGTTGCAAGGTCTTCTTACGGTTTTTTTAGAGTCAACATTCCTTTTTTAAATGCTTCTTTGGAACTCTAAGAAGTGGTAAAAGATTTACGTGTAAATTGCGAAAGAGTTACGTTAACTCTTCCCCAAGTCCTTCTGCGAAACGAAGCCTTTTTTTATCCTTTTTATTCGCATTTCGCTTTATTAGAGAGTCTCGGGGTCGTTTCTTAACTCATTCGCGAACCATAAAACCCGAGATTCGCGGAAGGAGTCGTCGTTGTGGGCGGAATCCTTTTGCAGACCCGGTTCAGTCAAGGCTGCAAAGTCAATCCTTTAGCATAATCCTTTAAATAGCCAAAATAAAGCCCGCCTTTGTCAAAACAATGCGCTTCGCTCGCAAAATTCGCATTTGCGAATAGGCGGTACCATTGTGTCCACTTAGCCGGCAGGTACCGCCTCCTCGAAGTCCTTGGGTTCCGAAGATTCCTCCGTCTACAGCTCTATCCCTTCCACCAGCCTCAACCATAACGATCGTAAAGTTATCCTTTCGCAAACACGAGCACAAGGTTACCTCCTTAAGCTGGCGAAGGAGTTACAAAGTCATAAAAACAAAACACCTTTGTCCGCGCAGCATTGTCGGTTGGCGAATTATCCTTTCTGTCGCCGCTGCCGAATCCTTAATCCGCGCCGTGTTTACAGCCAGCTAGAGGGAGATGGGCTGAGAAAATAGATAGAGATAGTAGGAAATTCGCAAATGACTCGGCTCTGGCGAAAGAGAAAGGGACATGACATGCCAGAACTGGAATGCCGAGGGTTTTCGAGGATAAGCCTTTTGCTGGAAGGGATTAAATTACATTATCCTTATGTTAAAGATAAACACGGAGCGTCTAATCCAAAACATTAGATCAAGCGTGATGTTCGAATTAACTCGAGCTGAAGAGTTTTAAGCGAAGGCATAGCTTTCCTTTGAAATTATAAATAACAATTCTTATTTTATAATTTCCAGATTTGAATAAAAATGTATCTTGAGCATACTACAATTCAGAATATTAAAAGTAGCTGAACATATTTCGCGTGTTGTGACCATCAGCTTGGTCGTTTTTAAATAAGACAAGAAGGTTAATTGAAAGCAGAGATGATCCAAAAACTAACTTCCAAAGGAGTTTTGATAAAATCAGTTTCCCATTTCAATCTTAAAGTGTGACAGATTCTTTTATATTATTTATATTTTATCTGCCAACAGCTAAAAACAAAAGAAACTTTACAATCAATAACAGAGAAAGAAAATATGATGACAGGTCAAAAAAATTGTCAAATTGTAAAAGATACCTGTCTTGAAATATTTTGGCTTCTGTCAACAATAATAATAATAATATAATTTGAAATGTTCCGCATACAAAGAATATTTCATAACGCTGACAAGGGTAGGCAATAACCACACACTTGTAAATCTCAGTAAAATTACGCTCCTGTCATATAATCACTGTACACGAGATGATAATCGAACTGATACGATGACACCCAAACGACTTCGGCAAGTCATCGTGGAGGTCAGCACTTCTGTTGCGGCCGCACCCTTTGTTGTGATGGCCATATATTTATGGCGCTCAAAAAGCAATTAATTGTGACCCAAATCAAATATTTCCGAATGGCTGGCAATATCAACACGGCAGCCCGATCTAATGGCCCGGCAAATGCCACCGATCTCCATGGACCAAGACGTAGGAACAGGAATGGATATATACACGTAGTGGGAATGGTAATGAGATCGAGATCGGCATGGCCTGGTATGCTGCATGAGTTATGGCCACCATGCTAAGATGTCGCTCCAAATGCTTCGTTTCTATGCACACGTAGAAAAATTCTTCTAACTTTTAATTTCCGTGTTGCCATCTTGATATTTTCCTATACATATTGTAACACCAAAAGTTTTAAAGCTTGTCAGTTTTATGAATTCTTTTCTTGAAAATAGTAAAACATATTTTATTTTCGTATTATTTTTTTAAAATTGATAATTCCTTAAAGTTCTGAAATTTTTAGTTCCAGTGGATAAATATTACAAATGCTGAAAGGATATCAGTATTTATATTGATGTTTTCATATTGTAAAAAATAGTAATAGTTTAAAACATTAAAATAAACAAACGATTCACAAAAAATGTTAATGATTTTTTTGTGTGCATAAAATATGTTCATGATGCTTGTACTTTCCATGGAATATCCAAGCCAAACTCCGATGAAATCAGCGCCGAAACTAAAACTAAACCAAACCTGATCGTTCGCCAGCGGCTAGATCAGTGCTGAACCCTGCCCCAGCCAGAGGTTAACATCAATATGGTAATAAGCCATATCACGTCCACTGAGAACCTCCGATCCCAAGCAATCCTCATGTGAGTTTGAGGCTGGGGGATTTATGAGTTCACCGAATGCTTTATGGCGTGTCGCTTTGACTAATTTATCTGCAAAAGGCGACGGCGCTGGCCACGAGTTTTTATTGTTAATTTATGATAAAGCTGATTATAGCCGATTCGGTTTTGGTTTTTGTTTTGTATTTGTTATACAGTCCCAACA